CTTACATTGTTTAAAACATCATGAACTACAGTTATATGTAACTTACATTGTTTAAAACATCATGAACTACAGTTATATGTAACTTACATTGTTTAAAACATCATGAACTACAGTTATATGTAACTTACATTGTTTAAAACCTGCTGTACCGTACATCAGTGAAAACTTCGTTTGTCCCGAAAAGGTTCGCAGCTCTCGAAAAACAAAAAGGGGGGGGGGACTTGTAGCTGATAGGATTAGGCCTAGCACAGCAACAAGAATAAAGTTAATTTCATAATAATTTTCATCCTCATTGAGTCCAAACATTTGTTTTTCCTCATACCTTTCTATTCCATAGTAACATAAAGCAAGAGTTCAGTCTTGAAAGCAAATGATATGATATTTTTATGACAGTTCAATATAGGTTAATTTATTTGGGAAATTATTAACTATTTAGTTATGTTGTTGGTGGTGTTTTTAATTATGTTCTATACATAGATGTGTATATAGTTTTAGATTGAAGCTATAATCATAATTGTCAACATTTAAAGCGTATAATGTATAAGCAGACAAAAAATCTATTATAATAATACTTAGTTTTTGTATGTCCTGAAAATGCACGTGTATTTCATTTCAACGAATGTATACAAAAGACAGGTGTAAATATACTTTAGTAGACATTTTGTACAACAACCTATTAAAAGTTTAACAAAGCGTTTAATAAAAGGTCTAACGTTAGGTTGTAGAATAACATTATAAGCTTATTTATTTATAATTAGGTACGTAAAGTTTAGCTCTAACTAAGTTAAAGCAAAAAAAAAAAATGTACACAAGTTACAGTGTTAATTTATCTCTTTATTGAACACTAGCCACGACCTACAAAACGTATTCGGTAGTTTTCATGCCTTTCGCTTGAATTTTCCTTATTCTATCATTTTCACGCACGCCATTTAAGCTACACTTTCTTGTAGGCATTATGTTTTAGATCGATAAATCCTGATCTATTTGAAAATATTTTATGCGGTCAGACAAACAAACTCAAGTAGACGCAACCTTTTTTAATAACACTACACATACACAACCTTATTTAATGAAACTACATGTAAAGTAAATAATATTAATTGTATTTATAATAGTGTACAGAGTATGAAACAGTTCTGAGCTTTTAGTGTATAACATGGTTATACGAGTTGCAGAAAGATGCTCACAAAGCGAAGAATAAAACCTGCACTAAAGTAAACAGTAGCTAAAAGGTGTTGATAGCAGTCTAAGAAACAAACTAAAGTTAAATTATTGCAAAATAAAGTAAATGTAAAGTTTTAATAAGGCAAACTTAGTTGATTATGCAGAAACGTCTCCACGCGTTTTCATAAAGTGATAAGCATGTGGTTTTGAACGAACTTCGCTGCGTATTTTAGACTTAAATAAGTTGAGAAAGCCCAAAGAAATTGTACTTAGTGTAATGTTAACTTTTTAAGGAAATTACTAGTGGGTTAAGTGTTGTTTGTGTGAAATACTTTGCAAATAAAAAACTAAAGTTGAAATCGTAGCTAATCATCGCGTGATGACAACGACATTGTGCCATCGTATACAATACTCGTTACATTAAAAAATTAACTAAGCAAAAAGCAGGTAACATGGTTCTGAACTTAAAAGCCAATATGCAACCCGTACTCCTCGTACAAAGGCCTTTCTAACGATATTATATTTGTAGCGTTTGATCGAGAAATTTGCGAGTAAAGTTCCGAACAGACAAACACAAGCGTATTATTTATACAGATAAGCCGTACTTAATAATGGTATAACTAAGGCTAGGCCTAAGACAAGTGTATTTATAGATTTCGGATGTCTGCGATTATAGGTCTTTTGCACTTTTCTAGAATCCTATGTTTAAAGTAGTACTGTTGCAATAAAGATACTAATTTAACTGCATATGTTTTGTGGGTCTCTGCTAGTAAGTAATTAACAGTTAGTTGGTAACATGCTCCATCAGTAGTTGTCTACTGTCTTACATGTACGAAGGAAAAGAAAAATAGTAAAATCTTCATCCCATAATACTTCATGGTGTCTGAAAAGTAAACAAATAAAACGTAAATTATGCACACAGCTTTAATGCAAATAATGTTCCACAGCTTATCCTGCTTTTTTTTTTCCTGTATATATGAAACCAACATTGATAAAACGAGCAGAACAAGTAAGTTCTACATATTTGTTCATTTCGAAGTTATTTTTATAAGTATTATCTTACCTTGGCATACAAAAGCAACCGACTGCCAGTTATTGGGAATTCAATGTTTATACTTTGCTGTAAGGTATTTTTGAAATCACTCTTTCACCATAAAACGTAAAATTCTATGTAACCATTCCCTGAGACCGTTATAATTTGAGAAAGCTCATATTTGCCTAGACAAATCTGAAAACTTGGGCGTTTGAATTCTGTTTCTGTTGTAATGAAATGTAATGTTTTTTGTTTTTGTTGTTGTTGTTTTTTTTTTTAAAAAGAAGTGTGTTAACAAGATCGTCGGTATTGTTATTAATGCAAGCTTCATTCGGCAGTACGGTGCTCTTAGTGCAATCTTTTGTTACCGTATTACTAGTCCCAGTTTGATTAAGTTACATCCCTGGCAAAATATTCTCTAATCCGTTCTGCACTGTTCATAATATTTTTGTCTTAATGTGTAGTGCAATCATGACAGTTGGTGAAAAATATTTGTCACAGCTCCTTGTGTTAGTGAACTATTGGGTCACGTAGAACTCTATACCAGAAACTGATGGGAATTTGTATATAGGTGCGTGGTTTGTCTCTAAGTGCATGAGTATCTGCTCAACTGCAAGTTGTCAGCCACACGTTTCTATTCATAAGGACCAATGTTTTTCTCACCACACTGACCACCACGTCTTGGACGTTTAGCCTATCCATCCCACTTGCATCATCACAGTTGGAAGTGTTAATTATGCTAGCCAAGTCAGTATCTCTACTTAGCACGACACCTAGGGAGCTAGTTAGTACTTACTTGTATAGGCTTTATATCCATGCATTGAGTCCCTAATACACTTTAATTATACATGCATGTATAGACAACAACAAAACTATGACCAGAATGTGTTTTGTTGTTGTTCTTTTTTCAGTTTGTGTGCTTGAACAGGTAATGTTAACAGTGCTACAACTGATTTTCAATCATAAACTTGCTTTACACTCATGAAGTATATAATATCCTTATTCCTGATTGGGAAAAATATGTAGAGCACAAATAATCACAGTTTGAAAGTCGGACTATCGTGGCTGTTTTTTTCTTTAGAACTGGCTGTTAAAACAATAGCAAGAAGGAATTATTACTGGATTAATTCACTTGGCAAACTTCTAGGAGTTAAGATAATTTTACGGCTGAGAAATAGTTGTAGAATACTTCCTTTTATGCTTAGTGTGTTATTCTACACCGTCTAGACCTTACTCATATTACGACCTGAAATACTGTTGACTGAGAGAAATCAGACAGAAGAAACAATGTAATCTGATAATTGTTATACTGCAGATGTTGTTTTTACGACATTCCTCTTAATTTGGCCATTGCGGCTCGAAGTCGTAGGTATGTTAAAAATATTAGTTCAGCGTTTAAACCGTAACTTGTTAATGCAACCTGATGTTTTCAGATGGGACATTGATCTTAAAGAAGCTAATTTCTGCTAATTTTACTACACTTTTTAAGTCAATGCTTGGGTGTATTTTACTTTTAGCTTGGAGATTGCTGGTGTTCCGAATTGCTCGTTTCTGTCTTGACTCTGTGTGTCTAAAGTTTAAAATGTTTCATTTTCCTTTTGAAATACGAGACCCCGCGCATAAAAAAAAGATATAATATAACAACACAAAAAATTCTTTATATCATACGAAGAAATATTAAAACGTTTTTTACCTTAATTTAATAAAATAATTTTTTCTAGTTTTCTTTTAACTTTAACATACCTGTAACTGCATT